TCATGATCTTAAATTAACGCAACTGTCAAAGCACGCTATTTTTTTTATGGAAAGTAGAAGCATTTGCAAAAATAAGTGTGTGGGTGTGTGTGGGTGTGTGTGTGTGTGTGTGTGTGTGTGTGTGTGGGTGGTTGAGTGAGTGTGTGTGTATGTGTGAGTGTGTGTGTATGTGTATGTGTGTGTGTGAGAGTGTATATGGGTGTGTGCAACTATCTAAATTAGTTTTTTGCTATTTTAGTATTAATTTATATTCTATTGTATATTTTGAATTAGCTTTTTAGTTTTAAATTTTCAGTTCAATTTCATTTTAATTTTAGTTTAAGTTTTAGTAATTATGTTATGTGGGTTTGTCATTTTTATTATTATTTTTTCTATTTATTTAAAATTTAGCTCATTTTTATTTCACTGTATAATTTTGATACTTCATCTTAAACCTATTTTAGTTCAGTTAGTTAGCGGTTTTAATTTTTGTACATAAAAACTTAAATAATAAAAAAAACAATATTTTTATTTTGATGATTTGCAATAGTTGTAGTTGGCATGAGCAGCACTGGTGCTAGTAATCGGTAACCTGTGTTCTCAGGGTGGATCTGTGGAACGCCAGCAATCTGAAGTTCGGAGATGAGTTTCTGGGAGAGGTACGGGTGCCGCTGAAGGTGCTGGGACAGTCGGGTGTTCACGACGCATGGTACTTCCTACAGCCCAGAGATAACGGCTATAAATCGGTGAAGGCTGATGAGCTGGGCTCGTTACGACTCAACATCGTTTACACGGAAGACCATGTGTTCCCCACGGAGCATTATAACCCGCTCCGAGACCTGCTGCTGCAGTCGGCGCACATCGAGGTCAGTGATGAAAACTGAGTATATGGTACTAACCTATAGTAACCTATAACCTATAGTATATAGTACTAACCTATAGTAACCTATAACCTATAGTATATAGTACTAATAACCTATAACCTATAGTATATAGTACTAACCTTTAGTAACCTATAAGTGTGTTCGGGAGAGTAATCAATAGTTATTTACTGTTTCAAATTCTGAAGTGCTACATTATTTATATTATGGTGCAATATAATAAATCTAATAATATGTAAAGTAATATAATAGTACAATATTAAAACATTGTAAACATAATAAAAACAGATTAAGACTGTAAGAGAAACTGTCCTCTATTATGATGTCCTGATAATATTTATTAATATTTTTAATTAGCTTGTATTTTTAGATTTTCAATTTGAGTGATTTTGTTATGTGCTTGTGTCGTTTTTATTATTTTCAATATATACAGTATATATTGAACTTAACTTTAATTAATTTGTTCAGTTTTAGTTTTAGACATTTTTATATTTTAAGGCAACATGTCTAATTTGTATTTTTTTGTGCGTTTTACATCAAATATATATATTTTATTTTATTTCAGCTTGATTTCCAGTACCAAAAATTATTTGTAATAGTTTCAAGTTTCGTTTTTCTTAACAAAAACAACACTAAAGATTTTTTTTAAATCTTGATTTTGTTTTCAAATAATACAAACACTTAAACACACATGAGGCCCAAAAAAGAAAACAAAAATATGGTGGATTAAAATTAATATAGAGTGTCAAAGACAAATGTCCCTAATTATTAAAGTAATATGTCATTTTCATTAGTTTTCAAAAAATATTTCTATATAGCTTTAATTATCTTTTCTTACAGTTTTAGTAATTTTAATACTTCAACTTGTTGTATTTAAGTTGCCAAGGCAGCATTTTTAATTTTAATTTCTTTTTTCTTTTTTTTCTTTTTTCATCTGGTATTTATATTTCTATATGTTTCAACTTGATTTCAGTTATTTTTAGTTTTCATAGTTTTATCTTTTATTAGCAGTTGTATGGTCTCTCAAGCAGCTACATGCTCTGCATTAAACGTAGATTTCACTGAATGAGCAGGAGTTTGATGAAATAATTTTTTATAGTAATATAAGAATAGTCGAGTCAAAAGATCACAGTGGTTAAATCCTAAAAGAATAAATAGATAAATTGGAATAAATAATAATAGTAATAGAAAATACAATGCGATACAAAAAGGTATGAGGTGATCATATTCCAATTTAATTTTTTTCAAGTAAATCTCATTTGTGACCCTGGACCACAAACCAGTTATAAGGGTAATTTTTTTTTAAATTTAGATTTATACATAATCTGAAAGCTGAATAAATGAGATTTCCACTGATGTATGGTTTGTTACGATACAACAATATTTGGCTGAGATACAACTATTTGAAAATATGGAATCTGAGGGATCACAATATTGAGAAAATCATCTTTAAAGTTGTTCAAATTAAGTTCTTAGCAATGCATATTACTAATCAAAAATTAAGTTTTGATATAGTTACGGTAGGAAATTTACAAAATATCTTCATGGAACATGATCTTTACTTAATATTCTAATGATTTTGGCATAAAAGAAAAATGTATAATTTTGACCCATACAATGTATTGTTGGCTATTGCTACTAATATACCCCAGCGACTTAAGACTGCTTTTGTGCTCCAGGCTCACATTTGTCATTATTGATCAGTCGTGATCTCTCTAGCGGTGTTGATTTGGGGTGTGTTTGTGTCGCAGCCCGTCTCAGCGTCCGCGGCTCATATCTTGGGCGAGGTGTGTCGTGAGAAGCAGGAGGCGGCTGTTCCTTTAGTGCGACTTTTCCTGCACTACGGCAAAATCGTGCCTTTCCTCAGTGCCATCGCCCACGCCGAGATCAGCCGCACGCAGTGAGTACAGACTAGAGTTGGGTTACTGTATTCTAATTACTTTTCCTGATAACGTAAATTTATGTAATTTGATTACAGTTACTATAATGTAAAAAATGCAATTGCATATTTTCCAGTTTACGAAAACTTGTGAGTCTCAAATACTAAAAAATGCTATTTTCTTGTAAATGCATCCTTGTCAGACCAACAAAATAACCCTAAATGTTGCCCCAACTTTTTACACAGTCTTTTTTTTTCCATCCAGGAAACTACATTTTAAAAATAAATGACCTCAACCACAGTAATTGTAGTTTCAGGTGATGTGACAAGAATTGTTCTACTAGCAAAATAAGACAATCAGCATTGCATGATCAAACCAATTTACGTTGGCGAAACAATGTATCTTTACCGAGAAGAACTAAAAAACTAAAACTATTTAAAACTTTTAAAACTATTGTTGCTTACTGCATCAAGTTGCCTTATTTTTTTTAGGTTTTCTCAACTATTTATTTTCTACAGTGTAATGTCGTAATAAAATTACGTTACTTAAGTTACAAATGCAGTGTTAAAAAAAAAATGAAGTAAATAAAATTACGTTACTTAAGTTACAAATGCAGTGTTAAAAAAAATATGAAGTAAAAAACATGTTTTGCCCATCAGTATGGCCTTTAATAAATCACCAGAGAATGCGAGCTAATGCAGACGAGTCCTACAACATTTAGATGCAATGAAATGTTTGTATCATATTTCAAAATGTTGCACTCCATTTCACATATTTTAGTCTAGCATTATAGTTTGGGAACAAGTGTGTACAAGTTTATGTCACAATAACACTAATATAAGTAAAAATAAATGACTCATCAGAATGAGATCCTCATCGCATCGCATTCTTCTTCTGAGGTAAATTCAAGGCTTATTCCTCACAGCGCATCTTCCTCCAAAAATAAAAGTATCCTATATGAACTTGATAAATCCTAATGCTTTATTTACGGAGGTGATGTGGGCGTTTAAATGTTCGCGCGTCTCAAGCCTGGTTTCACGTGGATGATTATCGTAAAGAGCGCGATGTGCGTGTTACAGATAATGTACTCAGATGGGAAAGACTGTAACTCGCGATTACTTTATCAGAGAATATTTGTTTTGGACTTAAAAATAGACACTTCAAGCATTTTTTTAGATATATTTCTCTTGTCTGTGTGTCAAGTATTCGCTGAGTCTTCGTTCATTTTAGTGATGCGTTTCAGGACTCTGAGACGGCAGAAAGCGCACCCTGTTTGTTTTCTTTATTTTACAAAAGCACAATGTTTTGTTTTGTTGATATTGCTAGTGTATACAAATAAAAGTAGACATTTTACAGTTTCAAATGATGTACTACTCTTATCTGTATGATGCAAAATTACGAAACATTTAAAGTTCTTTTCACTGCTGTCAGGAAAATATGCAAGTGATCGTTCAAGTTGCTGTTTTGATATTTATGTAATTTTTCAGTCAATATTAAATTACTGAAAGAATTATGAGTTTCACTTTGTAGTGTATTTTTTTAGACATTAATCTCAACATGAATTTATGAATTTAATTGCACTCATGCCACCTCTGAGCCTCATTAAACGTCTGAAAATGTACCTACAATGTACCTACTAATTTCATATGATTGGTAACTTATTTGTCTTATTCTACTTCTTATTATATCGTTTTAATTAGAAATGTTAAAAAGCTTATAAATATACATTTTTGAATTTGACATAGAAGATGACATACTTTTAATAAACCTAGAAAAATGCCATTACAAAGGTAAAAAGAAAATGCCCCTGTAAATCACCTTAAGGAGTCAAATATCACCTTGTATTAGGAAGGCTAATTTTTGATTATCGATCAAAAGGTGCTCCTAAATTTTTTAAAAAGAAAAGAAAGCTCCTAAAAAGAAAACTAAGCGTAGAGCCATGTGTAACGGTATATTAGATCCATGCATGAGCTCTTAAAGAGACAGCAGCCTAAATAAACCTGCTGCTGTCTGTCATACTGTCTTATTTATCAGCCACCAAAAAATACAGAGATATGAATTTTTGGTCATATCTTCACCATGTCGTTTGCCTGTAGATCTGCACAGACCACAAACCCTGCGAGATCGACCCCGTCAAGCTGAAGGAGTCCGAGAACTTGGACACCAACAGGGTGAGTCTAAATGGTTTAGGGCAATTAATTAATGAGTTAGATTAGATAACATATATATTGTACCATATGAATTGCAATACCAATACTTTTTTTTTTTGGTACTTCGATTACAACATTACTGAGAAAATGTAAATAATTGCTATTATACTATATTAAGACATAGCAAATATAATGAAATATGAATTAGATATATCATCCAGTGTTATTTTAGTATTATGTAGTATTAGCTTTTATTTTTATATTTTTAGTTTTCACTTTAATTTGATATATTTTTAGTAAACTTATAATGTGCTTTTGTCATTTTTATTAGTTTTTTAATATATTTCTATATAGCTTTCATTCATTTTTCTTTCAGTTTCACTAATTTTGTTATGTGCTTTTATCACTTTTATTAGATTTTGGCTTTTTTATATTTCTATATAGCTTTAATTTTTCTTTTAGTTTTAGTCATTTTATGTGCTTTTGTCATTTGTATTAGTTTTCAGCTTTTTTGTGTGTGTGTGTGTGTGTGTGTGTGTGTGTGTGTGTCTCCTCAGGAAAACTTGCGTCAGTACGTGGACCGGATCTTTAACGTGATCACCAGCTCGGGTGTGAGCTGCCCGACGGTCATGGGTGACATCTTCTTCTCGCTGCGAGAGTCTGCGGCGTCACGCTTCGAGGGTAAACGCTCACACCGGCAGAAGAGACTATTAAAACTACAGAAAGAGTTACTCTAAAAACTCTTCCAGTGACGCAAACGTGACACAAGGGAAGAAGTCCCCTGTTTGCATTCACACTGAACACAAAAGTGGATTCAGAGCTCTTTTGGTCCATTTTAGTTGTGTTACGGTCTCAGTCCACTTCTTTTTGAAATCAAGTCAACTTGAATAATAATTTAATTTTTCTCATCATTGATTTTCCCTTGACCCAGTCACCTAAGGCTTCTTTAAATGAACTTGAAATGGAATTAAACATGACAAAAAACAAAAAAATTTTTAAATTTTGAACTTTTTTGTTTAATTTAACTATTTTTATGTTTTCATTTGTCGTTTTAATTTTAGTAATTTTTAGTAACTTTTGTCATGTTTTAAAAAAAATAAATAATAAATTTCTATATAGCTTTAATTAATTTTTCTTTCAGTTTTAGTGTTAGTAATTTTAGTAGTTCAACTCATTGTATTTCAGTTTGTTGCCAAGGTAATGTTTCTCATTTCAAATTTAAGTTTTCCATCTAATATTTAGATTGAGTTAGTTAATTAATTAATTAATTTTTCCTTAAGTTTTCATAATGTTAGTACATAAACTCATTGTATTTCAGTTTGTTTCAAATTTTTTGTTTCTAATTTTTAAGTTTTTCATCTAATATTTACTGTATTTCAGCTTGCTTTCAATTACTAAAAAAATATTTTTAATAGTTTTAATTAACAATAACTATTCTGTAAAGATCAAGCCATTATTTTTGAATAAGCTGTTATTTTTATATTTTCAGTAGTTTAGGTTTTGGTTAAATTGTTATTTGTATATTTGTCAGTGTATTTTTATTATTATTATTTAAATATTTCTATATAGCTTTAATTAATTTTTCTTTTGTTTAGTTTTAATAATTTTAACTTTTTTTGATTTAGTTTGTAGCCAAGGCAGCATTTCTCGTTTCTAAGTTAAATTTTTTATCTAATATTTATTTATTCTTTTTTTTTTAGCTTGATTGCAATTACCCGAAAATGTTTTTTAATAATTTTTAGTTTTATAGTTTTCTCTTTATTAGCAGTTTTATGGTCTCTCAAGCAGCTGGAAGGCAGTCACATGCATTAAGACTGAACGAGCAGGAGTTTGATGACAGTAATAAGTGTCCTGTAATCAGGCATTTGTTTCCCTCATACTTGTTCTTGTGTTCTGCACTGCCTTCTGTTTACTTTAGCTGCTTCGTTGAATTGTCAGTGTTATACTGCCACCTTCAGATCACAAATGAACTCTGCAGGGAACCGGATTGGCTTTGTTTTAGTCCAGAGACTTCAGTAAAGTGATCCGTGATGATAATGATGATGACGATGGTGGCTTGGTTGAAATTTTAAAACAAGCCCCAAATCAATCTAAGGCTTTGTCTGTGCTCTTTCCTTTTAAAATGAGAGGCAACCACTGCATTTTAATCTTGATCCAAACAAAGATGCTGCATACATGCAACATGAGCAGTTTTTAATCTAAATTAGATTGTATAATTTCTAAATTTGAAGCAAAAACAGAATGGTTTGACTTACAAAGCAGCGCTGCACTTATGAACTTTAATATGCATTATACAGAGGCAAGATGAAAAGAAAAAATACCATCTAAACATTTGTAAAGACAGTCAGTTCCCCTCAGACATACATTCATATTAATTAATTAATTTATGCATTTAGCAGACGCTTTTATCCAAAGCGACTTACAGTGCATTCAGGCTATACATTTTTTACCAGTATGTGTGTTCCCTGGGAATCGAACCCACAACCTTTTGCGCTGCTAACACAATGCTCTACCACTGAGCCACAGGAACACTATAAATCTAACTTGAAACACGATTTGAATCGGCTCGCGGTTAATCGTTACATCCCTAATTGGTGGCGTGTGTGTTTTTGCAGTTGACCCGGATGTGCGGTACACAGCTGTTAGCAGTTTCATCTTCCTCCGTTTCTTTGCTCCCGCCATCCTCTCTCCAAACCTCTTCCAGCTGCGTCCTCATCACCCGGTGTGTACCGCCTCCTCTCTGTTTTCCATCTCATATTTAACCGGATGTGTTATTTTGATCATTTTTGTCTCTGTAAAGGATCCGTACACGTCTCGGACGCTGACGCTCATTTCCAAAACCATCCAAACTCTGGGAAGCCTGGCCAAGTCCAAATCTGTAAGTGAACATTATCAATAGGTATTTACCGTTACAAATCCTGATGTGCTACATTATTTGTGAGATAACGTAATATAATGCATATGATGTAATATAATATTCACATTGTATCATATTACATTGTAAACATTGTAAATATAATTAATAAACACTATAAGAGAAACTGTCCTTTGTCTGGACTGTTATGATGTCACTTTCTGAAATATAATCCAGTGTTATTTTAATATTGTTTATATACTATTATAATATTTATTAATATTTGAATTATTTATTTGTATATTTAGTAGTTTTATTATTAGTTAGTAATTTTATTTTACGTTTTAGTACTTTTCTTATGTGCTTCTGTCATTTTAATGTATATTTTTATATAGCTTCAGTACATTTTTCTTCCAGTTTCAGTCATTTTGTTATGTGCTATTTTTATTCGTTTTTTAGATATAAATTTATAGCTTTAATTTTTCTTTCAGTTTTAGTCATTTAATTTTGTGCTTTTTGGATTTTTATGCTTTTTTTATGTTTTTATGCTAATTAATTTTTCTTTCAGTTTTAGTTTTAGTATTTTTTTATGTGCTTTTGTCATTTATTAGTTTTGGGGATTTTTCTGTGTTTTCACAGCATATAACTTTAATTATTTTATTTTTCTTTCAGTTTTCGTTTAACTTATTGTATTTCAGTTTGTTGCCACGGCAACATTTCAGATTTCATTTTTTTATATATATTTAATGTAATATTTATATTTAATTTTATTTCAGCTTGATTTAAATGACCAAAAACAAACCATTATTTTTAAAAGCGGGTAATGTCATAGCATAACGAGGTTGAACAGAAAGACAAATTAAATTTAAATCAAATTAAAAACAAAAAAATACATATGTAGATTTAATGTTTTTGTTTTTTTCTCATTCATAACTCATCTAAATGTAGTGATGATGACATGACAGAAAAAACTCTTCTGTGCTGTTCCTCTTCGTGAAAGAATGAACGCTCTCGTCTCTCTCTGACAGGCCAATTTCAAAGAGTCCTACATGGCTGCGTTCTACGACTACTTCAACGAGCAGAAGTACGCAGATGCAGTGAAGAACGTGAGTGTCTATCATATATATATATATATATATATATATATATTCCTGTAGTGTTAGTGTTAGAAGATTGTTTTTTAAATAAAACGAAAATGAGTAGATAGAATAAAAAAAGAATTGAGAACGTTAGTGTTAGAAGATTGTTTTTTGAATAAAAAGAAAACAAGTAGAATAGAAAAAGAATTGAGAAAATTAGTGATAGAGGATAATTTTTTTAATAAAAAGAAAACAAGTAGAATAGAAAAAGAATTGAGAATGTTAGTGTTAGAGGATCGTTTTTTGAATGAAACGAAAACAAGTAGATAGAATAGAAAAAGAATTGAGAACGTTAGTGTTCGAGGGTCAAGCTTAGATGGAAGAGATGTGTTTCTTGAATGTATATCTATATCAGAGATGCTGATGTGAGCCGCGTGTGTCTGTGTGGCAGTTCCTGGATCTGATCTCGTCCTCGGCCCGCTGGGATCAGAAGAGCATCGAGACGCCCATCATGCTGAAGGAAGGGTGAGAGACGCTCACAGACCTCACAGCTCACTGTATTAGTGCCAGAACAATCAGCATGTGTGTGTTTCTCTGCTGGACGCAGGAGCGTTAAACTCCTTATTAAGAGGTTTGATGCCAAAGGCTCTGGCAGGTAAGCTGCCGTTGTGACCTTTGACCCTTAACCCCCTGACCCGGTGTCTCTGTTGTTCTCCTGATGTTCCTGCTGGTCTCTCCCTTTCCTGTTAGCAGGGTTGGGCTTTTAAGTGTATCAAAATAAACTACAAAATACAGCAGCCACACCTTGTATCAAAATAAACTACTGTATTTTTGTATTTTAAAAATACTAAAAAATACTTTTACAATTTCTTAGCAAACCTTCTATCAATTTTCCTGTTTGATCTATCTATAAGTTGATTAGGGTTCGGATTAGACTTCAATTAGGGTACAATATTAAGCAATCAAATATTTATTTAGGAATCATTGGACACCTATTTGGAAGCTGAAAGCAAACATTTTAGCACGTAACGTAATCAGAAAGTAGCAACAGAACTTCAACTCCAAACACTGAATCTATTGAGAGCCATAGAAGTATAGAGGACACATAAACACATTAATAGTGTAGGCTATTAACTGAGTAGGCACCAATCAGAGGTGCACCAATTTTTATGATGTCATCATGTAGACTTGTTACAAAGTATTTTAAAACTACAATAACACTGAAGTATTTTGATACAAAATATGAAGCCATTTTCATCAACCCTATCAAATCCTATTTTATATTTGAAATACATGTATCATAAATACTGCCCATCCCTGCCTGTTAGTGAGCACAGACACACGCACCCTTTCTAGTGTGCAAACCCTTCAGAGAGCATGAGACTCTCGGTGAGGTTTCACTGAACTTGCTCTTAGATGAGAAATATATATATATAATATATATGAGAAATATATATGCTTATATGAGCACAGTTTGAGACGCTGCTGAGATCTGGAGACGCGTGTGAGATCTCGGGGGTCATTTTCTCAGGAGAAACATCTGAGAAGCAGGAGAGACTTCAGCAAAAGTCTCGTTTCATCAGTTGTGGTTATAAATGTCAAAAAGATCTCATCAGTGATTTTTCTTCCGTACTAGTAATAAGACTGCATCAGTGTTATTTAAGTATCATAGATTTACTATTACAGTTTTTGTTAATGTTTTGAATTAGGTTTTATTTTTTGGTATTTTCTTTCTGTTTAATTTCAGTTAAAGTTTTAGTATTTTTATGTTTTTTTGTTTGTCATTTTTATCATGTCTATATATGTTTTTTGAATTTTTATTTATTCATTTTAGTTTGTTTAGTTTGACTTAATTTGGTACTTCAAGTTAAAGTAAAAAAAAAATTAGTTATTTTAAAATATGTATATATAGTTTTTATTAATTTGTATTTAATAATTTTAGTTTATTTAATTTGAGTTATTGTAGTATAATAAACAAAAATGTGAAGTGTTGCCTTGGCAGCTAACTGAAATAAAATTCAGTTATAAAAATGTTAAATTCATTTTTTTTATATATTTTATTTCATAAAGTTTATTTCAAGTAACAAAAAAAATTTTTTTTAATGGTTTTAGGTTTAATAAACTAGAATAACCTGGAAAGCAGAAATTAAATATACACTTATTTTAACACAATATTTACTAGAATTAATTCAACAAAATTTGCAAATGTAAAAATGCCCATTATACATTCAGAAGACAAGTATACATCAGCAGTTACTCAACAGAATCCCAGAACAGATGTAAGATGTTTATTGTGAAAATAATCAGTAATATGATTAATGAGTGCAGTGGTTGGTTTTGTTGCATCAGAACGAGTTGACTATTAATATGTAGTTAGTGTTTGAGTTTGAGTTTAGACTCGTTCTGCTCTGATCTTCCAGGTTCATGATCAAACGAGCTCAAGGACGAAACCGCTTCGGTCTGAAGAACTTCAAGAAGAGATGGTTCCGCCTGACCAACCACGAGTTCACCTACCACAAAACCAAAGGTAACGCAAAAGGTTTGTCCCATACTCTGTCTACAGGTGTGTGAGGCGTCTGCTGTTCATCTGTGTTTGTGAAGAAACAGAACATCAACACTAATGAATATCTGAATAACACGCCATATAAAGAAACATTTGAGTTGGTAATTACTGTAAAAACACTGATTCTCTTTGATGCATGAATTGTTACAATTTAAAAAAGTTTATTTTACTTCAAAACCATAAATATATGTATTTTTCAAAATGATAATAGAAATATAAATAATGGCAAATATACAGTACATTTGAAAAATTTGGGGTCAGCAAGATTTAAAAAAAAAAAAAAAAACACTTTTATTCATCAAGGATGCATTAAATTGATCAAAAGTGACAGTAAAGACATTTATAATGTTACAAATAAATGCTGTTCTTTTGAACTTTCTATTCATCTGTGAATCCTGAAAAATAAAATGTATCACGGTTTCCACAAATATATTGTGCAGCACAACATTGATAATAATCAGAAATGTTTCTTGAACAGCAAATCAGCATATTAGAATGTGACACTGAAGACTGGAGTAATGATGCTGAAAATACAGCTGCGCATCACAGAAATACATTACAGTTTAACAGATATTCACACAGAAAACAGCTGTTTTCAATTGTAATAATATTTCAAATTTTTTACTGTATTTTTAACCAAATAAATGCAGCCTCAGTGAGCAGAAAAAAATTATTTCAAACACATTAAAAAATCTTACAGATCCCAAAGACATAAAAATATATGAAAACAGTCATATATAGAAATATAGGTACAGGTCAAAGTGATTTTTAAAATGATTTTTAAAGATGTAGTGGACACCAGAGACAAAGACTGAGCAGAACACACAGAAACCTTGCAGAAAACACTGGTTTACACGAATCAATCAAACGTTTTCCTGTCCGTTTGTACATCCATCCTTAAGTGTTCAGTCCGTTTTGTGTTGGTTGTTGATGTGTCTGTGTGGTCATCAGTGCTGATGTGTGTCTGTGGTTGTGTCCAGGAGAGGGCGCTCTGTGCAGCATCCCTATTGAGAACATCCTGGCTGTAGAGAGACTCGAGGAAGAGTCCTTCAAAATGAAGAACGTAAGAGAAACCACTTCAGATTCACATCTGTGACCCTGCAGCACAAAAGCAGTGTTAAGTCGCTGGGGTATATTTGTAGCAATAGCCAACAATACATTGTATGGGTCACAATTATACATTTTTCATTTTTACCTCTTTTAAGTAAAGATAATGTTCCATGAAGATACTTTGTTAATTTCCTACCGTAAATATATCAAAACTTAATTTTTGATTAGTAATATGCATTGCTAAGAACTTCATTTGGACAACTTTAAAGATGATTTTCTCAATATTGTGATTTTTTTTGCACCCTCAGATTCCAGATTTTCAAATATTGTCCTATCCTAACAAACCATACATCAATGGAAAGCTTATTTATTCAGCTTTCAGATGATGCATAAATCTCAATTTCAGAAAACTGACCCTTATGACTGGTTTTGTGCTCCAGGGTCAGATTTGATTGTTTCATAGACATCACCTGTGGTTTTCCTGCAGATGTTCCAGGTCATCCAGCCGGAGAGGGCGCTCTACATCCAGGCCAATAACTGTGTGGAGGCGCGCGACTGGATCGACATCCTGACCAAAGTCAGTCAGTGTAACCGCAAGCGTCTGAGCACTTACCACCCGTCGGCGTTCCTCAACGGACACTGGCTTTGCTGCAAGCTGTCTGCGGACTCGGCTCCCGGCTGCACGCCATGCACAGGGTGAGTCTGCGCACATCAGGTTTCTGGAGCTAAACACAGCTGAGAAAAGACTTCAGACCAGCATTACAATATTGCTTTACTCCCTAAAAAAGTAACTAATTACAAATTAAAAATATCTTCCAGTGGGGTAAGAAAAATAATCTTGTTTAGCCTTTGAATTAAGAGTAATTTTTTACCCCACTAGCGGACATTTGTACTTGTTTTAAGCAAAAACTAACAAAATTTGGATAATTTTTCCAGAAAACAAGACATAATATATTAAGTAATTTTACTTGTCAAGTAAATTCACCTTAATTCCAGAATTTTTAGATATTTATACTAGAAAACAAGACATAAATACTAAGGAATATAATATTTTTGCAGTGATAGGCTATAGATTTCATACGGGATGCTTCTTTGATGCCTTAAATACGGGATGAATTTCTATTTCCGTGACGTCGCAGCTGTAACAAAAACATTAAAACTATATGACAGTAGATAATCTCAGGTGATTATGTGCTTTATTCAAAGTTAAGCGTGTCTAATATGAGTTTAAATATCATTTTGCCTGACCTTAAACCAAACTGAAAGCAAGTTTACCTCAGATCTTGAAAATAAATTAGAGCCAACATGTATGTTAAAACTACTGTGAACTCACTGCGAACCAACGAGTGTGTTCCATAACAATCAGTCACTCAGTATGTACATTTAATGATGTTAAAAAGGTTTGATATTTATGAATTAGATTATAAACATCCATTTTGTTGCGAGTGCAGTGTGCTTCCAGAGAGGCTCCGCCCACACACGCTTCTGATTGGCTGTGATATTTGATTGATTCTGTCACGTCTAGTGTTAATTTCGTTAACGAAAACTATGACGAAAAATGTTCGGTGACGAGTTTTTTTCCATGACTAAGACGAGACGACAGTAAGGTCAATAAACGATAACTGTGACTATATCAACATGCAATTTCGTTGACAAAAAAATTTATTTAAAAAAAATTGAAACTTTACAAAAAAACTCTTTTTATTTTCGTTAAAAAAAGACAATGTTATTGCGGACTGCTCTACACTCCTCATGAGTGCGGTTGCCAGATATCAAGAGTTCTAATCCCAGAATCAGAGCTTCGCTGTTACATTGATACATTTTCTGCTCAGTGCTTTGTTTATTTTTTGCAATCTGGCAACCTTAATCTGAAAACAGCGACAAACACGCTGGAGTTTAGCGATCTAAATGAAAGCGTCTGTGTTCTGTCATGAGATCTCGACTGTATTGTTTGCGATTGTGGTTTCTGAATAAAGGCACTTACTCAACCGCTGTTGTTTTAATAGAGAAACACAGGAAATTGCAATTTTGAATTAGTGGCATTACTAGGAATTTCACTGTTATAATAATTTTTTGTTTGTTTTACCAGTTTTCATAATGTAGACAGAGAGAGTGCATAAGTCTTTGGTATTAATTTATATAATAAAAAGCCTATAATAAATCAGTACACTAGATGAGATAAATAAACCATGTGTATGAGTCCACATTCTATTCATTTGTTTATTTGTGAAAGTGCAATACCTGAAATGCAAACATACATTTCTCAAATGACAACAATCATTACGATTATAATTTTGAGCAAAAATCTTTTTTATCAGTTTAACCTTTATACAGCATGACGAAAATGTGACTAAGATTTGACTAAAATCTGACTAACATGCTCATTCGTTTTGTTGACTTAAACTTGACTAAACAAAAACAGGACAAGGTTGACTAGAATTGACATCAAGAATTGGATGGAAAATAATTTCCTAGAGTTTAATCAAAAAAAGACTGAAGTTATATTGTTTGGCCCTTCTCACCATTTACATAATTTAAGACCTACTCTGGGCCCTTTTGAAGAAAACATCCATGAAAAGGTTAAAAATCTGGGAGTTATTTTTGATCCTGAATTGAAATTTGACAAACAAATTAACTCTGTAGTCAGAGCCAGTTTTTTGCAGCTTAAGGGGCTTCGCAAGCTGAAAAGTTTTCTCCGTTTTAATGATTTAGAGGGTGTTAT